GGGGGGGGGGGGGAAGGTAAGAGAGACAAAAGTAGAAGGGATTACAGCGGTCGGGGCTTATATTCTCCCAGCCGTAAGTGTCGAGCGTGGTTAGTTCCTTTCGTGAGCCGAGGGCACAGCGAGTTGTAGCCTTGTCCAATACGAGGTTCGTAATGAATGGGGATCAGGGCTTTGCTCTGGGCAATGTTACCCGTAATTTACGTGTTAGGCGATAAGATCTTTTATCGTTATCGTTTATCACCAGAATCGACCCCGCATTCATTGCGCTGGGCAGCCCTTCAATCGTCTCGGTGCAAAGGGCACCTAAAATAATCAGCTCATCTTCCTCTCTACCTCTTCGTGACTTTAGATTTTACCAAATGAATTTACCCGTGTCGACCTGGTGAGCGCGGCCGTGTCTCAGGCTGTCAGGGAAGAAACCACCGGTCCGGCGGACGAGGCTGTAACCATGGAAGCTCCATCTACGAATACCACCGACCAAAGCCCTTCTCTCACAGCAGATAATCCAACCAAAACAAATCTTAAAAGAGTCCGGCGACGAATCCATCGTCATCTTTCTCGCTTCCATGCTCGAGTCCCCTATCTTCGAAAACTCCCTTTGTCCGCCATCCTAATCATCGCCCTTCTCATCATCGTCAATCTCGTCGTCTGGGCAATATGCGGCCTCATACTCGCCTCGCACACTCACCTCCTCTCCACCGCCGCGTTGGCGTATACGTTGGGACTCCGGCACGCTCTTGACGCCGACCACATATCGGCCATTGACTTGATGACCCGCCGACTGATCGCTACCGGACAAAGACCCGTCACGGTCGGAACATTCTTCAGTCTCGGCCACAGCACCATCGTCGTCGTGACTTCAATCGTCGTCGCCGCCACGGCAGCAGGCATATCCAGCCGCTTTGACAGCTTCGGCACCGTCGGCGGTATCATTGGCACTTCGGTGTCGGCGGCTTTTCTGATCTTGCTCGGGATCATGAACGCGTACATCTTGTACAAACTGGTCGTGCAGATCAAGAGAGTCATCCGCCTCCAACCGGACCAGGAAGCCGCAGAGGCATGGAAGATCGAAGGCGGTGGATGCTTATTCAGATTGTTGAAAAAGATGTTCCAACTCATCGACCGGCCGTGGAAAATGTACCCGCTGGGTGTCTTGTTTGGCCTCGGCTTCGACACGAGCTCCGAAGTCGCGTTATTAGGTATCAGCAGTATTCAAGGCGCCAAGGGGACGAGTATTTGGCTTATTCTCATTTTCCCTATCCTGTTCACCTCGGGTATGTGCCTCGTTGACACGACGGACGGGGCGTTGATGATGAGCCTATACGTTGCCCCCATGTCTATGGGCGACGACAGCAAGAAAAACCAAGAACAGCAGCAACAAATTGATCAAGACCTCCTGACAGCCACAAGTGAGCCACTGGTACTAGAAGACGTCGAAAGCCAACAACCACGGCCTCCTCCCAACCCTCCTCGCACCGCACGTGTCAAAGACCCCCTGACTTTCCTCTACTACAGCATCGTCCTCACCACACTGACCGTGATCTGCGCCATCATCATTGGCGTCCTCCAACTTCTCTCTCTGATCCTCAACGTCGCCGAACCTACCGGCAAATTCTGGGACGGTGTCGAGACTGCCGGCGAGTACTACGAAGTCATCGGCGGTGCTATCTGCGGTAGTTTCGTCGTGTTTGGGGGAATCAGTATTCTGTGCTATAAGCCCTGGCGTCGCTGGGTGGATAGAGAGCGGGAGAGAATGCGTGATGAACGGGACGAGAGCGGACGGACGGACGGAGCTGAAGACCTTGTGGACGATGACGACGATGGAGATGGCAGTATTTATGCTGGCCATGGTAACGTCGAGGAGCTGGTCGAGGTCGATGGCAAGCTTTCCGTGCAGAAAACTGGGGGAGAAGCTTTTGGTAGTGCTCGCAATAGCCTGGGAAATGCGAGGGCTACTGGAATCCAGTCGGCGAGTTAGTTGCAGGAAAAGCCAAGGAATTTTTTTTCTTTTTGGATACACCGTGGAAAGCTTGTGAGATCTGGACAATAAGTTTCAGATATGGGAGCCCGGTCCGCAAAAAGGGAAAAAGCCTAGATGGGGGTTCAGGAGCGAAGCTGAGGACGGGACATGGATATGGGCAGGGATACAAGATCTGGATCTGACATATATATTTATATTGACAACTCTGAGAAACAATATCATACACAAGCCAAGACATGGTAATGGGCTTAGAATTCAATTGATTTACTTGCCTACTCAACAAATCTTAACTCGGTTCGATCTATGCTTCATTAGAGTCAAGTTTCTAGATCCACATCAGGAAGACAGGTTGGGTTGGCAAGATTAAACCCCCCAACAAACCATCATTCGCAACAAAAGCAGAATGCAGGGCAATAGTTCATATGGTCCGCACCTTGGGCTCAGATTGCTGTTTGGTGTGTCTACAGATACGTAACTATTCCCGTCAAGTCTCAGTGCGCAAAGTCATAAACTCAAATAGCAAAGTAGGAAGTGTGGTGTACTTCAAAATCCCGAAGACGAGGCCGAAAGCGAAATTTTGCTCACTCCATTGGTCACCACGCCGTTAACCTTGCCGGCGTGGTGGCTATCCCCATTCATCAAAGCAGCCTTCGCAGCCGTGGCAGCTGTAGCTTGATCCAAGAGACCCGCACTGGCGGCGACGAAGCCTAGGTATGGCGGACTCGGACGGAGGACGCGGCTGAGGTACTCGGGGTGGAATTGGACACCGACGAAGAATGGGTGATCCTCGAGCTCGATGATCTCCATTCGTTCGCCGAGGTCGTCTTTGCCGATGAATGGCAGCCCCGCGTCAGAGAGGCGTGAGATATATCCTGGGTTGACTTCGTAGCGGTGACGATGGCGCTCGTTGACGCTGGGAGCGTTATTGTAAAGCTTCCGGAGCCGCGACCATTCAGTGTCATCTTGGAAAATGGTAGGTCGTAATCCTAGCCGCATGTTGCCGCCCATGGTGGTTTTGTCGATTTCAGGCATAAAAATGACCACGGGGTCAGGGGTTTGGGGGTCCAATTCAACGGACGACGCTTCTTTCATACCACACACGTTGCGGGCGAATTCGATGACCGCAATTTGCATGCCGAGGCAGATTCCGAGGTAGGGCTTTGGCTTCGTACGTGCCCAGTTGGCGGCAGCAATCATTCCTTCCGTGCCGCGGTGGCCAAACCCGCCGGGAACGAGGACACCATCGGCCGTGCAGAGTTCATGCCATGCCTTATGGAAGGACTCGGGAGACGACTCCATAGTGGCCTTTTCGAGGTTGCTCGCATCAACCCAGACAAGATTTAGCTTGCGGCGGCAGGCCATGGCGCTGTGCTCGAGAGATTTGATCACAGAAAGGTAAGAGTCATGGAGATTCGTATATTTGCCCACTAAGGCGATAGTGACCTTTTCAGATTCAAGGAAGCGCTCTTGCGAGGTGGTCAGGGCTTTCCAGTCGTTCCACGTTTGTTGACCCTTTTTGACCAAGGCTGGTGAAATGGGATAAGCCTCGAGGCGGAAGAGATCATGAACTTGGGAAAGGATGCCCTGTTGCTCGAGAAGGAGAGGGACGTGGTATGTGGACTCCACGTCATGGACGCCGATGACTTGGGACGGCTCGACCTGACAAAACATGGCGATTTTGTGTGTGGTTGCTTCAATCAGGCGTTCCTGGCAACGGCAAGCAATCTGGCTTCGTTGTTAGTCATTATCCGAACGTGATGCAAGGACAAGATTGCTACCAAATCCGGCGCGAGGCCGGCTGAGCGCGCATCTCGAATGGCTTGTTGCGTAGGTTTCGTCTTTTGCTCGCCGCCCACCACCGGGACCAGGGAGACATGGATATGACAGAAATTATCGCGACCGGCTCTTCTTCGAAGTTGGCGCATGGCTTCAATGAACGGCCCCGATTCGATGTCACCCACAGTGCCTCCGAGCTCAATTATGCAGACGTCCGGCTCTTCATTGGTGTCATCCACCGAGATCCTGGCTACTCTTTCGATCCAATCTTGGATGGCATTGGTCAAGTGGGGAACGACTTGGACGGTCTTTCCAAGGTAGTCCCCTCGTCTCTCACGTTCGATGACATGTTGGTACATCTTTCCCGTCGTAATACTGTTCTCTTTGGTCAGGGTGACGTTAAGGTAACGTTCGTAGTTCCCAAGGTCAAGGTCAACTTCTCCTCCATCGTCGAGGACAAAGCATTCGCCGTGTCTGTCGTTTGTCAAACCATGGACTCGAAAAGAGCTGCTCGACGTACTCAGTCGGTGCCATGGTTCCAGCATCGACATTCATATATGGATCAATCTTGATAGCCGTGATGTTTCCAGAAGTCAGTCGGAGGGTGGAAGCGAGAGGGTTGTAAACATATCTTGAGCCCCATCGTCTTCAGCAGCAACCCAGTCGAGGATGCAATTATTCCCTTGCCAATTCCGGAGATAACTCCTCCCGAGACCAGAACGTACTTCATTTTGAACAAAAAGGGTCGACCGAAGAAAACGTAGGTTCCCGTCGCTGGCAGTCGCCAGGCGGGAAGAAAAGACAAAATCGAGAGCGCGGTGTGTGATGAGTTTTAGCCAGGCAAAATTTCCGGCCCAACGTCGAGGCTTGGCAGCGCGGAATGTTTGATAGACGCGTTAAGTGGAACGCGTCGAGTCAGACATGTGATCAGGCCAGAAAACAGGGGGCCACTACTTGAGGTCCAATATGCGCCATTTGGTGCAGCTGAAGATGCATGCTCAATAACTGACGATGATCTTGTTGACAGCAAGACGCCTCACCCCTACCTAGTCCACTGCGAGCCATCCAGCGCACTGGGATCTGTGTCTCTCCTCGCGAGTACGCCAGGTAACCTCTCCTAATGACGAGTCCTGAATAGATGTCCTCATATCTAAGAGCGTGGTCAGGGAAGACGGAGTGTTCAGGGGTTCCACGAGAGGCAAATATCCTGCAGAAATATCGATGGGGTTCAAAGCAGAAAAGTTTCGGTTATTTGAAACAGATATTCGACATGGCCTCAAATCCATCCCCCAATAAACATCAATAACGAGTGTACTCATGATCGAGACTCGCACCTCGACATGCTCAGATTTATGGTCAAGTTTTCCTTCTCTTAAATTGCATTGGTTTCTGAGCTCCAAATGTCACCGACCTTAGGCACGGAGAGTGGACCCGATTGTTAAAACACCTTCCAAAGGATTCAGATGTTTTCAATGCTGCACAGCCATAGGACGTACGACAGTGCTGACTTTTGCTAAGGGTATATGGAGCATTAACTCAAGCCAAAGCGAGAAAACGTACCGCAAGACCTCCCACTTCACCCCTATATACTGCAATTTACCATTTGCTTTCGCAATCGATCATAGGACTTGGAAACCCAAGGCGCACAGCTCCTAGATACCCGACTCTTCCCCCTGCATGAGCGCGGTGACGAAGCCATTTAACGTGCTGGAATTTACTCCCCATCCTCCTCTTCAGCCAAGTGTCACCTGGTCCTCGGCTTAACGTCCAAGCCACCTAGCCGGGCCGCCCGCCCGGAACCCAGACACTGAACAGTACATCATTAGGCACCCTTCGCCTAAAAATGGGCTACCCCCGCCTACAACGATAATGTGTGAATTTTTGGGGACGATTTTTAACATAACAGGTGCCGAAGTATCATTTTATTTACACCTGAGGAGAGCCAACATCCCAAAGTTCCATTGCATTGTGGTGGAGATATTTAGGTCCAAAAACGCAAGTATTTTGGGGTGGGCCAACTAAAGTGGCTGGCTCGACTGGATGGCTAAGACCTTTATACTGTGGTGTTGGGGCATTTTTTCGTGACCCCCTTGCAACTGCTAGAAGGCTCTAGAGAACGTACTAAGCCTAATTGGGCAATTATACTGACACATTACTCCATTGCGTTTAGTCCCCTAAGTCCATAAATCCTCCGTAACCTTACTACTGGATCTAGAAAGGCCTACAACACCACCTCCCCGAGCGCCTTTCGAAGCAGTCCCGAGGGTGCAACCGCCCATAACACCTCCCCGGAAGCGCTTAACCCGCCACCAAAGACGAGATATGGCTATTCAACTATAAGCGAGTACCTAGGCCTCAGTAAACGGGCTGTCGAGTACACATGGTAAAAACAGAAGGCCACGCCACAGTATAAAAAGGCAGGAAATCCACCTAAACTGAATAAGGATGAACGCTGCCAGGACGTTATAGACGCTGAGGGGGGTTATACTAGGTGGTGAAAAATACTCTGTAGGGGCTTAAATTTATGGTATTAACTGGTCACGTAACGTAGCAAATGAATTCCCTTATTAGGCTTAGTGCAAACCTAACTCTAAAATGCTAAGGTGTTACGGAGTATTAGGCGGTTGGCAGGGCGGTCACGAAAAAATGCCCCAACACCACAGTACACGGGCAACCCCAAAAATATTAAAAATAGGAAGGGCCCCCTCCTATAGTCCATCTCTGACGAACTCATAGATGGGGCGCCGCAGCCAGTGAAAGCTTCAGCCACACAAGTTCAACTGAAGGAGGGTTCGAATCAGTGGCCTTCCAACGGTATTTGCAGGGGGATTTCATCGGATCCAATCCATGGATCATATCGAGTTGGGAGGGCCCCCCGGGGGAGCACGTGATCCCGGAAAATGGTTAATCCGTTGAGGGTTGGGTGGTCCATAGACTGGATCCGATGGGCGACGAGGAGGGAATTTCCAAAAATCAAGTTTATATTTTATAATGCCAAAAACTACTTCAAAATTGACACCAAATCGTGGTTGACCTATCAAGGACGTAACCGAATGGTAAAACTCTCGGCTTGCAGTCGAACCGATAGAATTGAGGGGCCTTACTAGTGTTCGATCATAGGTAAGGTAAGAGGGTTGTCCGGCCTAGCTCCTAGGTGCCCTAGATGGGTAAACGTAATGCTCCAGCCAGTGATTGTTGATGATGTCGTCTTGTTCATACCATGGGGAGGGTCACTGATTCACACCTTCTTCGGTTGAACTTGTGTGGCTGAAGCTTTCACTGGCTGCGGCGCCCCATCTAAGAGTTCGTCAGAGATGGACTGTAGGAGGGGGCCCTTTTTCTTTTTTAATACTTTTCTGTGTGCGTGTGTTGTGTGCCCTATAAGTCACGTGATAATTCTGGCTTGGTATTGTCACGACTGGCGCCAATACTCGGTCCCGACTCGTCCCCGGATTTCGCAAAGCTTAATTATCGACGTTGCCCCTGTCTACCCAGTCCTTATTTCATCTTCACCGATCCAAACAAGTGGCACAATACCGAGAAGTGACCGTAAACTGGAGTGCAGTGAACAATCGGTTGTTGATATCAGATTGCTCTGCTGCACGGCGTCTTGAAATTGGTAGGCGGAGCATCTCTGCGCAGTGTTTGTCGACTGCAACCAGGAAGTGCACGCCATTTTGTACGCTTCAACGAAGGTCTTCCTTGCTTCTTCGATTGATTTAAGTGTAACGAACCTCCTGATTGTTGACATACATCTTCGGCCACCCTCCAGCATTAGCATCGATGACGATAGATGTTTGACCGGGGAAGCGAGCCGTGCCGGATTCCAGGACGTTGTAGTAGGTGATCTTAATGGGAAGCCCCAGACGGTTCAGGACAGCCGTTATCGTTTGGACTGCCTCTGGTAATGCAACCGCATTCTGGTAGACAGCGGCAACGATGCAGCTTCGCCCTTCAGGAAAGTGCGCCCTATATGTGTTGTAAAGAGTGATCACCCGTTGCATCTTCCTAACAAGGTTCTCATGGCCAGAGTTGTTATTGTTTGACTGTGTATTAGGTGGTAATGGCGCAATATGTGCGAGAATACCGGCGGTCCTAGAGATAATTGCGACACCAGTGCATCCGTTGAGTCCCTCCGTAGCAAGATAATGTCTTGTTGATGACCAGAATGCAATCCCCACTTCATTCATGGGGACAAGCACGGTGTCAGTCCGGCCTCGAACTCTGTCAATGATATTGTTCGCCATAATTCTCACAAGAATTTTCGGGTCAAAGTGTTACCGAAGACAGTTGTAGCGACAAGTTAGAGGTTTGGAGCGGAGTATTTTACTCTGGAATAGAGTCTAACTACACCAAAATGTCGGATATATATAAGTAAAGAAACAGTATAAGTCGAAGAGACTTGAGATACGTCTTACGCGCCCAAATAGTGCCCCCTATGAGGTGACGCCTAATTTAGCCGCCGACAGCACACAGCAACGAGGTTAAAGCATTATAGGCTTCATCTTCTATGGAATTAAGTACTTCACTCCTATATGATTTGATGATATAGTATCCAAATAGGGTTGGCGTTACGCCGGGCTGGCGTAGTCCCTACGACTGGTAAGACACGCTCCTTCGGCTCGCGCGCGCCAATAGGACGGCATCACTCTCGTCTCGCCTCTGGGTGAGGTCACCGCAGTTTTCTACTAATGGTAACTTAGCATAAATACGTCAGGTGATCTCTGAATATACTGTGTCCAACGCACACGCTAGTCTCGCGGTCAAATAAGCGCTGTGAAAGCGGGGCTAAGCCTACGCCACTTTGATTCGGGGTATATTAGACGGCAACTGTCCCCCAAGTTTTCCAAACTCCGTACCGACCTCTTTTACCACATGAAGCTTTATCATGGATGTGGACCAAATCTTCGACTTCAACAGTTCCCTTGGGAAGGATGTAACTGAAGCTACCATTCCGCCGCGTCCCAATTGCGATCAAGCTATTCAAAAACTCGAAAAGGCGTCAAGCGAGGGAGACTTATCTACTGTGCAGCGCATATTCGATGAATTCCGCAGCACCTCTGCTTGTGAACATTGGCTTACAGGGCCAGGGAGCAGTCTTTTCTTTGCAGTTCAGAATTGTCGCAGTGCTATTGTCGAATACCTTCTAAGTCAAGGCGTATCTCTGGATATTAACCATATCAAAGCTGCTATCCTTAATAAGGATGAGGCTTTACTTGAGCTATTCCTCAAATATGGATGGGATATAAACAAACAGATGGAATGGGCGGTTCCGCCACCACTTTCGTAAGTTACTATGAGCAATGTTATCCAAAAATCTACCTCTTACTAATGGCAATAGACTTGCGGTTCAGAATGCAGACCTCGTTACTTGGTTCCTCTCTCATGGTGCAAATCCAAATGCTGGATGCCAGTTGGACTTGACCCCATTGTCATATGCCGTTCAATATGCGCCGTTCGACGTTATTAAGACACTCTTCGACTATGGTGGCTCAATTCATAGAGGACAGCTAGTTCATTACGCTGTCCGTCGTGATCAACCAGATACCCTCGAAGTCCTGGCTTACCTCCTCAATAAGGGTGCGTCTATTAATGACGTGATGTATCAGAATCAGATGGATTCCTATCGACTACAACAAGCATTTGGACTTGGCACTCCTCTTCATGAGGCAGCTCAGCGCGGGAAGCTGGAGGTGATCCGATTTCTGCTGGAGAAAGGCGCAGATCCAAATATCACAGACTCTCTTGGGCAGACAGCCGTTCAACGCGCTGAGATCTCCCAGCACCCAGAGGTGGCTGACTTTATGCGCCGCACTGCGTCGATCCTCCCACAGTAGAAGAACAAAGTTGTTATCCCCCTACCTAGTTTATATGACTCGGTCTCGATAGGCCCTCTCTCCTTGACGCAATGTCCGAATACGAACCTGCCCTCATCTTCCGCTCTCAGAAGTCGAAATCTCCGTCGGCAATATTCTTGAAAGGACTGGCGCCTTAATGATACACCAACGCGAATTGTGCATATCCATGAAGGAGCGTTTTGAGGATGTTCTTTCCTTCACGGTCGAATGGATTAGGGGCGAAGACTATGACTACGAAGATGCGGAATCAAAGGCTGCTCGAGCTGTGCCGGAGCACATTTTGGGATTGAGTATGGCTTGTTTATGGGTTGTGTTAAATGGAACACCCTTCCGGATGCTGAGAGTGTATGGCCCTATCAGAACTTAACGGCCGACATTACGTCGCGCCGGATCATGGTTTCCTAGCCTGATCTACTACTAGAGCGCGTACCAAACCTAATGTTCTTCCAATGATCTTTTGATCTTGTGTTTGTCTCCTCGCTCTGATAGACGAACATTTCAGGAGGGGCGAACGAGTATAGAACGATTACAACAATTTCAAGACAAGTCTCACAGGAAATCAAGACTGATAGTGACTCTCCTTCCAGCTTGCTTCCCTTAACGTGGTTGTCACGAGAAATGGTGTGGTATTGTCCGTAAGGCGGAGCCCAAAGCTTGACGGGTATTGGTGACGATATCCTCAAGACGAGGTATGGTGCGCACTGTATGCGAAGAAGTCAAATTAGCATATTCGTACGGAAGACAGTCCCTAGGGTAACGACCTTTAATTACTGATAGTATTCTTCAAGGCCTGTTTCCCCTACGGAGCAAATTAAGAGTTGATCCCAAAAGCGCCTTGAGGATATTTATCCGTATGGACTAGCTTCCGTACGGGATGTATCCCCTAAGGTATTTCAAAACCGTCCCACTAGAGACTGAGGAAAAAGGGCTGGAGGTTAGAAAGAAGAGAGAGAAGAGGAGAGGAAGGGCGGGGCGTTCACTCAGTGGTGTGCTATTGAGTAATACCAGCCAACGATTGGTCTTCGAAGCTTCCTGCCTCCCTGTCATTACTCCTTCCCGCGAAATGGTTGGCTCTCGATGATCAATAACAGCCACCCTCCAGTTTCGTAAGAGGCAGGGACCCTCGGATCTAGCCACCAGCATTTCAAGATGCATACGAGAGTGATCATTGTTTGCACGCCTATATATTGGCCCCCTCGATCCCCTATGTTGAGAATATCCTCCTCTTTCGATGCGTTGCATTACTCACATCCTAAACTCCACAATCTGAAAGCTTCGTGGTGTTCGTTCTCTAGTTCGATGCTAGCGGTTCTTGAGCGTCAGGTTCCAGCGAACCCTGGTTGATGGAAAAGATCATGTTGAACTTCGTGGATTGAAAGAGTGCTCTGGCTCTCCTCATGAATGTAGGATAGAGCCCATCTATATATCTATCTAACGAGCGTACGTCACCATTTCTGCCTGTTAATGGTGATACATCCCATTGAGCAGTGTTGCAAAGCGTACGGAGGCGTGTTCCAAATGTTGTTACAATACGCTAATGCCTGAAATAGTATAGTGGCAACATTCGAGCGATGACTTCAAAAGACAAACGACTTTCTAAAGGCTCTAGGTAGAAGGCGCCTAACAAGAGCCTAAATATTGGATTGGGCTGAGGTTCATAGGCCACTCTAGGCGTCACCGTACCTAAAGAGGGGAAAACTAATCGTCTTTTGAAGTCGTCGCTCAAATGTCACCACTAGATCCCATCAGGAGTTAGTGTACTGAAACAACATTTGGAGCACGCCTCCGTACCTTTCTTTTTGTTGGATAGAGGAGTATTGTGTATATGCTCTACCACGGAATGTTTGTTGAAGACAGACACAATGCAAGATCAAAGCTAGTCCCCTATGGGCTCAGCCCGCACAGGGTGTATTGAAGATCGTATCGTATCGTACTTAGAACTAGATGATTGAATTCTTGCCCTAGCACCCTCACAGGTGCGCCCTCCTGGGGTACTTGGTCCACAGACTGGATCCGATGGGTGGTGGCCCGGAAAATATTTAATCCGTTGGGGATAGGTGGTCCACAGACTGAAATACCACGGCCCATCGGATCCAATCCATGGATCATCTCGACGTCGAGGATATCGAATAGGGTGCCCCCCACCCCAACAACCGGGCCACTTGGTCCACAAACTGGATCCGATGCGTGGATCATGTCGATATCGACATCTATCGAGTAGAGTGCCCCCCCGGCCACTAAGCCACGGGTTCACGTGATTGCGCCAAGCCATAGGCTTACGTGATTGGCCAGCACGTCGCTCTTGGCGTCGCCACGCAACGCCAAGCGCCAACCAGGCGATTCCAAAATAAAAAAAAAATTAACGTGGATCACAGGCTCTGGGATCGCACGGGCTCGGGGATCACTCAATATCTAACCCAAATTTGCGAAATTCGCGACGAAATATCTCAGCCAATTCTATAATAATGCTTAGGATTTATCTCTTCTATATTGGTTTTGGGCAAATCCATTGGCCCATCACGAGGATACTGGGTTTTGGCCCCCAAAAATTTAGGCCAAATCATAGATCCCCGTAACCACGAAACCCCGCCCTCTGCGAGTACGCAGAGCACTGGCTGCTGGCTAGTGGGACGATGGATTCGCACCTTCTCGCGGTGTCCGGTGTGAGTACCTGTTTCGATGGGAAACCAAGACGAATCCAACGGCAGACGGGGACGTGCTGGCAGCTCAGGGGTTGCGCGTCCTGCACCACCACACAACGACGACAAGCACGACAGCACAATGAAGTCAAGAGAGTTCAAAAGAGGTGGAATGGATAACGCCACTGGGATACAATGTCAAGGGTCACAGAGTGCAGTCCCCCCTCCAATAGTTCTATCTCAACGACCTCGACCATCATCTTCAGCATAAGCCCTCCGACTTACTCGTGCAGTTGCCTGCACTATGGCGTAAGCCCCTCAACACGACGTTAAAGGACTGTTGTGGCCCAACAAATGCGCTGGATGGGAAGGTATCGTAAATATTGGGAATAAATCGCGTACACATGCCCGACAACTGTGTAGGGAATATGGTTAGGACTTTGACTGAGTCGAGGGTCAGTGCCAGTAATAGCTAGAATCTGCGAGTTAGCCTGCAGCCTGTCATGGCCAAATGGGCGTCAATGAATCACACACACACACACACACACACACAGGCGGAGGACGACGACAAAGGCGAGGACGACGAGGAGGATTCCGAGGACTGGCACAGCACGTGATATATACAGGGCCTCAAAACACCAAGATTGGCGACGACGAGGTTATATCTTCAGAGTCCTGTGCGACTTGTTCTGAAGATGATGTAGAGGGAGAATTGAGCGCTGCCAAATTACTATGGGCGGTAGAGTCTGTGTGGCATACCAAGACGCTAAAAGGAAGCTAAAATTTAGTGCCGCAAGCACTTTTTGTGCACACCTCCGTATAACGATAGGTTGCCGATAGCCACGTGATATAGCTCCCTGCTAACGAAAGTTGCCCTTGTCGAGTGTATGTTGCGCCTCTGAAAGTTCTCTCGCCAATGATCATCCTGGACTCTGGTGCTTTTGCCTAGCAAAAGCCAACGACAACACTGCAGCAGGTGCAGTAGTGGTGCAGAGTCTGGGCACGTACTGTACAACTACTTTGCCTTTGGTACAGTATTAGGTAGCGATTCAGCTTACACGAGAAGCCTCGAGGCTGCAGCCAGGACAATCTCTCTCCAACTGTTTCTCCTACGAATGCGGATATTGTGATCCTTTCGAGATTGAACCGAACAATTCCCCTAGTGAATTTATCACAGCACAGTTCATTCGACATTGCCAAATATGAGCGGGGCGCCTGTTCCGTCTGTAAAGCTTAGCGTACGAGAGCGACTACGTCAACGCCTCAAGCCTGGAAGCCGTGCTTCATCACCCACCCCAGCAGGTTCATCATCAACGCAGATTTTAGCATCGTCAAGCCCACCGTCAGCCAGACCGCTTGCCACTAACTCATCAAATGCAAGTACTGTCCCCTCGTCATCACAGCAAGCAACTCCCAATCCCTCTAGCCACAATATCTTAGATGTTGCTCTCAAACGACTCTCGGACAACGATCGGGAAACCCTTAGAAAACATATTCCTCCGACCCTTAGCGACATTGACTTGGCGCTTGAGCAGGCTGTAGCTGCGGCTAAGGAGAAACAACGGTGGTGCCTGGAGGATAGGTGGAGGATTACACTTGCTGGGCAAGAATTCATTTTAAAAGAGAAGGCCGACAAGATAGTCAGGTGGCTAAACCGTTTCAAAGATGTGGGCAATGTTGCAGCCGCTGCAGATCCGATACATACCGGTTTGCCGTGGGCTGGCATTCGTTTGCTGCTCGAGGTAAGAATCCTCTCCCCTCAAGCTCGCCAATCTTACATCTCAATCGACAGGCTGCGGTATCTGAGACAAACCAAATGACTTCCCTGCTAGTTGGATGCGAGACGGCCTTGTACATGGCGAATCGACTGAAGGTGTACACGGACTTCTTGCGTCGACTGCCTGCGACGCTGGCCCGAACCAACTTTGAAACTGCAGTAACAGAACTGTACACTCTTATCCTTCAGTTTCTGGCGCAAGCCATTCAGATATACCAGACTCCGACGTGGAAACGCGCATTTAAAGCGTTCTGGGAAGAGAATTACGTCCAGAAATTCGAACAGGAGTGTGAGAGTCTTGCGAGGGACGTTGAGATCGCCGCGAGTAATTGTGACCGCATCTTGAGCGCTGAAGACCGAGAGCGTATGGGAAAGCTTTGGCAAGATCAAGAGAAGGTGCTTGAAGAGCTCAAAGCCATCCGCCAGATTCAAGAATCGCTAAATCGACTGGAGATTAAGTTTGACTTGGACAAGTTGCCATATGCCGAAGGTGCTATGTTTGATTCTCATGCGGTGGGCCATGAGACCTGTCATTCTGCTACCAGAGTCGAGCTGCTAGGCCAAATTCAGGATTGGGCCCAGCAACCTCAGGGCAAGAGCATTTTCTGGCTCAATGGGATGGCGGGCACGGGCAAATCGACCATCTCATTAACCGTCGCAAAGTGGTTGGCCAGTCAAGGTCACCTTGGTATCGATCTAGGAGCCAGCTTTTTCTTCAAACGGGGTGAAGGTGACCGGGGCTCTGCTTCACGATTCTTTTCGACTATTACCCGACAGCTCGTATTAAAAATACCCGGTCTGCACGATCTTGTTGCCAAAGCTATCACAGCTGATCCATTTATTTCTAACAAAGCATTGGGTGAACAATTCGGCAAATTAATTTACCAACCATTACGGAATATAGTTGTCCGTCCTGGCAGTTGCCCTATCTTAGTCTTGGCGGTGGATGCTTTGGATGAGTGTGAGAAAGAGGGCGATATTAAGACCATTCTCGATTTGTGGTCTCGAATACCTCAGATCACGACAATTCGCCTCAAACTCTTTCTTACGAGTCGGCCCGACTTGCCTGTTCGGCTTGGGTTCAAGTCCATGTCTGTCGACTCTTATCAGGACATCATTCTCCAGGATGCAGTTCCCCGAGTGACGATTCAGCATGACATCTCCGTTTTCCTCAAGGACGCATTCTCCGAGATTCGGCAGAACTATAATATCGATCCGCCTTTGGGAAGACTACTGAATCATGACTGGCCCGGCGAGAAGGTTCTTGAAGACTTGGTCAACATGGCCATCCCGTTGTTCATCGTTGCCGCTACTGTGCGTCGTTTTGTAAGTGACCCCAACTGGGATCCTCAAGAACAACTCGAGACGATCTTGAAATTTCAGGGGATTGGTCGGTTGGAGCAGATGGAACAGACATATCTACCCGTGCTTACCCAATTACCGTCAACGTTAAGCAACTCGAGTGACAAGGGGAAGCTATACCAAGAGTTCCGAATGATTGTTGGATCCATTGTTATCCTGGCCGAACCACTTTCCACGACCTCACTGGCAGCTCTTCTGAATATATCTTCAGCTACTATTTCACGCAGGCTTCGTCCGCTACATTCTGTTCTGCGGGTCCCGGCCGACTCTGAGACTCCTATTCGGACTCTCCACTTATCCTTTCGCGAGTTCCTGTTGAGCGACAAAATGCGAGACAAACCCTTCGGGGTGGATGGCCCAGCTACGCACCGATTACTTTTGACTAAATGTCTGCGATTGCTGTCCAATGGTCTGCGAGAGAACCTATGCGATCTTAAATATCCGGGCCAGCCACGACGACAGGTTGACCGAGCTATAATCGATGAACGCCTTACACCCCCCTTTCAGTATGCATGCCGGTACTGGGTGTATCATGTCCAGCACAGCAAGGCTCCGATTCATGACGATGATGAAGTGCATATGTTCCTACAGAATCACTTTCTCCACTGGCTTGAAGCTCTAAGCCTAATGGACAGAATCACCGAAGTCATTGGACACATAGGCGTCTTACAATCAATTGTGCTGGTAAGTGGCCTCTTGTTAAGAAGTCTAGAGAGAAGACTGGCCCTAAAATGAAGCAACAGGCGAACGAGTCAACTCGGTTATCAGCCTTTCTTGAAGACGCGCGACGGGTTGTCCTTGCGAACCTATATATCGCCGACCTTGCTCCTCTTCAGATTTATTCGTCTGCGATGATTTTCGCACCACAGACTAGTATTGTGAGGAACATTTGTGGTCAAACCCCAACATGGATACGAAGGTGTCCGATAACTCCAGTAGTATGGAGTGCGGAGCTACAGAAGCTCGAGGGACACACTCATTGGGTGAGCGCGGTGGCCTTCTCGGCAGACGGCTCGCTGCTGGCCTCTGCATCGGATGATAAGACGGTCAGGCTCTGGAATCCGAGCACGGGGCAAGAGGTGCAGAAGCTCGAGGGACACACTCATTGGGTGCACGCGGTGGCCTTCTCGGCGGACGGCTCGCTGCTGGCCTCTGCATCGGGCGATGAGACGGTCAGGCTCTGGAACCCGAGCACGGGGCAAGAGGTGCGGAAGCTCGAGGGACACACTC